ATTTCAGGGTGGGCCATTTTTTTATTTTTTTCACTCTGTTTATCATTGCAAATAGAAAGCCAAAGGATGTCAATCTGTAGTTTCTGAAGTTTAACTAAAGGTGAGAGAGAAACAGTCATAGTAAATATATGTAACCTATGTAGATGTTTTGAATTTATGTAGGGTTGTTTCCCCTTTGATATTGAGTAAACCAAAATCCACTGCTGGTCAGTCAGCTTTGAGTCCTAGTGACCCCATGAGACCAAGTAATCAGAACATCCCTGTAGGGTTTCCATTGTTAGAAAAGCAGATTGTCACATCATCCACCTGGAGATCAGCTAGTGAGTTCCAACTGCTGATCTTCGGGATAGCAGCTGGACACGTTCATCACTGTGTCACCAGGGCCCTTCATGTTGAGTAACTGATATTTTAAAATAAGCTTCTGAAAATGCTTTTTATTCTTTTCTTTGTACTTGAGTAGATTCTCTCTCTCTTTCACTCCAGAACAGTAATGAGACCATATCATTTTGGTTGGATTATAGCAGGATTTTTAAAATGTAAAATACAGCGAAGCATGCTTCTTTGTGAGTGAATTAAATTAGAGGAGGACTAAATGAAATGGAGAGATTGATTATCAGCTGAAATAATTAGAAGATTGAAATGTTGAGTCTGAGTGAAATATTCAGTCTTTCCGAGCAGTGCAGTGTTCTGAACTCCGCTTGCAGGTAAGAACAACAGCTAATACCGACATAGGGTCCTGGAGACTCATTTAGACCTTAGTCTTTAAATTACATCCTTACCCTTTAGCACTTTAAAGAGGTCCTTGGTAACAGATGTACCAAATGGGTGTGTGGACCCAAGAAAAAGGAAATCCTTAACAACGTCAATCATTTCTACACTTATCATACTGTTATTTCTAAGCCTACATGTGAGGATTCCCCCCCCCCTTTTATGTTGAGGAGTAATCTGTTCTAAAGGCTGTTGGCTTTATTCTTCTTTAAGTACTTCAAGTTCTCTTCACTTTTAGTAAGTTAAAGTCATCTGTTCTGAGTATTATTGCTACTTAGAGTAAGCACGTTGAGTGTAGTGTATAATGTCCATTGCTGCTATCTTGAAGATTCGTGATTCAAATCCACTAGCCACTTGGTCAAAGAAAGAAAAGCAGTCTCCTCAGTAAAGGTTTACAGCATCAGCAACTGGATGGAGGGTTGTTATGCGTTGATATGGACTCAGCTGCAGTGGGTTCCTCCAGAGTAGAAGGTATTTAATAATTCCAGGGGTTTTTTCCTATTAAAAAAAAAAATCAATCCAAGTTCCTTCTAAATCAACCTGGGCAGCCCTTCTTACTGATTTGTGCTATCTATCTTTTATCTTCCTGGCTCTCCTAAAATCATCTAATAGTTTCTTGCTTCATTCTCTCCTCATCAGATCATTAAGTAAGGGATAGATATGCTGTTATACAAGGGATCTTTGGTGGCTTGTTGTTGGTATTGTTAGGTGCCATCAAGTCGAGTGCAACTCATAGTGACCCTATGAACAATAGCAAAATGTGTGCAAAATACGTGACACCAAGCTTGCCATCTTTGCTGATGGATTTGGCCAGAAAAGCTCCGTCATTGAGGTAACAGTGTAACTCTTTATAGACTCTGCCACCAAAATTCCCTACTCGTCTGCTTAGAGAATAAAAAAAATAAAAACGGGTCACAGATAGAGGATTTTAGGTATAGAAAATCCAAAAGAGTAGGGACTGAGGACTGTTTGGGTTTTTTTTTAAAATGTTCTGTAAATAAGTAATATAGTTCATGCATCATTTTTCATCATTGGCTTCTTCCCATCTTTGAGGCCGTTGAACATTACCTGTTGTTGTTAGGTGCCATCAAGTACGACTCATAGCAACTCTTTGAACAGCCAATCTGAAACTTTCCCTATTCTGTGCCATCTCCATCATCTTTGAAACACTAGAGCCCGTTGCTGAAGTCACAGTATCAGTCCGTCTCATTGGGGGTCTTCCTCTCCTTCGCTGAGCCTCCATTTTTCCAAGCAGGATGTCCTTTCCAAGGAAAAGCCTTGCCTAGCTCCATGTCCAAAGTATGAAATATGAAGCTTAGTCATCCTTGCTTCCAAGACACACTCTTGCTGCACTTTTTCCAGGACATGTCTGTCTGTTCTTTTGACTGTCTATGGAATATTCAGTACTCTTCTCAAACATCACAACTCAAAGGCATCAGTTCTTCTTCTGTTATCGTTGTTCATTGTCCAGCTCTCTGTTGTGTAGCAGGTGATTGAGAAGACCATGGCCTGAATTAGGCACACCTTAGTCTTCAAAATGACATCACTGCTCTGTAGTATTTGGGGGAAGTCCCTGACAGCAGACTTGCCTAATGAATTTGCCTAATCTCCTAATTTCCTGACTCCTGGTACCAAAGATATTGATTGTTGTGATCCAAGCAAAGTGAAATCATGGACAGTTTCAGTCTCTTTTCCATCTGTCAAAATTGGTGGACCTGTGGTGAGGATCTTTGTCTTCTTGATGTTGAGATGTAATTCATACCTTGTAGTCTTTGATCCTTGATCTTCTGCAACAAGCATTTCAGATCATCCTCATTTTCAGCAAGCAAAGTTATGCCATGAGTATAATGCGGGTTAGGAGACTCCAAACTTTAGAAGCCAATGTGGAAAGGTCCTAGTGACCATAATCTGCATCTTGCTCCCACCTCAGCATTTGTGACACTGTGAAATGGAAAATTCAGAAAAATAAGATTAAAATACAGCAATAAACTTAAAACATATAAAATAGGCAATAACTGTGATTTTTATTTCTGCTTTTACTCAGTTATTGGACATAAAGATATTTATAGAAGTTTTCCTAAGGCCAGTCACCATTCTATCTCGCACAACCCTCAAAATCCTGTAAATTCTTCAACTGCAGACTTCCAGTCATATGCATGTTTAGAGCCAAATTCTCAAAGCTGTAAAAGAATCAGTTCTCTTCTTATTGTTGTCGTGTGTTATTGAGTTGATTCTGACTCACATGGATCCCATGACAGTGTGGAACTGCCTGTTCTGGTTGTCAGGGTTGGATCTGTATGCAGGCAGGCAGCAGGTCTTTCTCCTGTAGAACCAGTGGGTGGGTTCAAACCTCCAGCCTTTGGGTTAACAAATGCATGCCATTTGGTTTTTGCTTTGTTTTGTTTTGCTTTGCTTTGTTTTATTTTGTTTTTGCCAGCCAGGCTCCTTTCCATCTTGTTGTTGTTGTTGTATACCATAGAGTTGGAACCAACCCATAGCTGAGTCTCCAATGGGATTTCAGAGGGAGTTAATCTCATGGGAGGAGAGTGTTCATCTTTCTTCTGTGGAGCAATTGGTGGCCTCAGACTTCATGCCTTCAGGATTGCAGCATAGTTTCTTGCTACTAGGTCACCAGAGCTCACTGTTTGGTTTCTCTAAAAGAGTTTTAAAATCTCAGAGAATCAGCTAAATTCAAGGGTATATCCATTTGAATGGCAACCAAAATATGGCAGTGCCTAGGGAACGTTCTTCTTTAAAGATGACAGTGGGGGGGTTGGGAGGGGAACGCGCGCGCACGCGCGCGGACACACACACACACACACACACACACACACACACCCTCCTCAGAGGAGTCTCAGTGCCTCAAATACTACTACTCTCAAGTAAATTAATATAAATTTAATTATGTTTAATGGCAAATCTTTAACATTGAACCCTGTGTTCTTCCTTTAAAGTGCATTAAAACAATACAAACAGTTGTTGAGTCGACTTCAACTCATCGCGACCTGACTTGGTGTCAGAGTAGAAACATGTTCCACCAGGTTTACAGTGGCTGATTTTTTGGGGGAGGTAGATCATCAGATGTTTCTTCTAAGGCACCTCTGGGTGGTCTCTCACCTTCACCATTTTGGTTAGCAGTCAGAAGTGTTCACTCTACCACCCATGGACTGAATAAAGTGTCCTTCAGTGTAATACATTAAGCTGCGTGACCTTCCACACTCCCTCCTGCCCTGCCACCTATAAACACCTGAACAGACACACACTTTGAAGCTTAAAAGATTATGTCCTGAAGGAGAAAGATCTTGGGCATGATGGGATTTATATTGTTCTCTAACCTAGATTTCCCAAAGTTTGTCCTTAAGTTTTCTCCCTTCCAGTCCTTAAGCGTTTCCTTTGAAAATGACTCTGGCTGTTTCTTTTGTCTCTGTTTTATGTCTCTCTTTGAGAATTCTCTTAATTAAGGGTTTAAACATTCAAAGAGAGGAGTGAGAGAGACTAAGAGTCTGGATAAATAAGTGGGATTTAAAGGATTTAGGATTTTAAAGGTCATGTTGTCTATTCCCATTTCACCTGCCCTGTGGGTCTCTGACACCTGCTTTGATGTGACAGATCATATGAAAAGATTGCCATAAAAAATTCCAGACTTCAAGGGAACATTCATTGTATTTACCTGAGGTCCAATGAAACCAGAATCTCCTATCTCAATTTGTCTGGCATTTTGATATAAAGTAGCATCTTTGAGGAATTTATCTTACTGGACTTAATATCTTTGTCTTGGTAGCAAGCATGATTTAGTAATTTATATTTGCATTCTATCTAAATGTTGCATAGCTGTTTTTGAGGTCATTCCCATCATCATGGCATAAATACAAATGTTTGTAATGCATACTTTTTCTTTTTGTGGTCTGATTTTTTTTCTAAAGTCCATATAATTATTTCAGACTTCTGGCCAACATTTCTAAAGCAGAGACTGATCTGAAAAATGGGTAAGGGTGATGGTTGCATAAGATGATCAGTATAATTAATGTTGATAAAATTAATGTGAAGATTGTTGAAATGTCAATGATTTTGTTATATATGTATTTACCACAATCTAAATAAACAAAATAAAGATAACAGACCTAGATATAACTTCATTAGCTCTTAATTTTGTTTGCATACCTAGGAACAAAATACTACTTTTGATAGATTTATTTTTCTTTAATTGTATTTTTTCTCTAATATTTTATCAGGTGCAGAGAGAGCTAGCAGCTGTCATTGCCTTGAAAGCAAGGAAGTCTGGTGAGTAGTCCTTATTGGATTAGAGGAACAGTTTCACTCTTTTGAGCATGTTTCACATATTATCCTGCAGTGGGCACCCAGCTGAGTGTAACTTATGAAGTTGTGATGTAGAATGCAGAGAAGTATCATTATTTATATATGGGGTTGTGGGTGTAGTTACTTAATTTGGTGGGTAAAGTTTACTGGTTGCTAGCAATGAAAGGAGGAGAGTTTAATAATGGTAGACTCAATATACTATTCAATGCTAGGGTTGCAGAGCAGACTAAGGTACCCACTGTCAGCAAGCTTTATACTTGCAGAAATCTAAAGCAACAATAGTTGTATAACAGACACATTCTGAACTATGGAATAAAAAAGAGAGTAGCTCCTAAGACTGCCCATAAACAACGGAAAACCTCCTAGGACCTGGCCTCCTGGTTTAGAGACCCAGGTTCACAATTTCAGGAAACATCCCAGTCACTTACCCCAACAACATGTTCAGCATTTCTGTTCTACCTTCTCTACTGTTGCATGGTATCTGAAGTCTTAAACATTTATAAATATCATACAAGACAGGAGAATTGGTCTCCAGTCACCTGGAAGAATAGTTGAAAAAGAAAGTGAGTAACAGGATGTGCAAGTGCGGTTAATTACTTGAATAGCTAACTGCCTCCATTGCCATGTGACCAGAAGAACTGGTTGGTGCCTGACTTCCATAATTGAACACCTTGATTAAAGGTTCTTAGGCAAGTCCCAGTCAAAAGGATGAACCCTTCAAACTATTGCCCAAAGATAATCTTCAGACTTTAAACCAAAACTATACCTTTGAGTCCTCTCAAAACCAAATGACAGTTTAGCTCAACTAGTTACCTGCTTTGAGCATTGGGCTCTTCCAAGAACTGTCCACATAGATCAAATTGACAACAGTAGAAAAAAAACCCCAAAAACCAAACAAAACCCAGATAGGAACCTTAGGAGCAGAAAGTTTGTTAATGAAGGAATAAAAATGCCAAAAAGGAGAGTGAGAAGAATGCTGTTAATGTCTTTAGATAGTATACACAGAAACGGATGCATTATGATCAGAACATGGTAGCTGTCCTCTTTCCTTTGAGTTACATTTTGAGGAAAAGAACACTCTTTTCTTTGCCTTTCTTTATGGAGAGGCTGAACTCATTTTACTTTTCTTGCTTCACTTCCTAGGCTGCCTCCCTCTGAGCCTAGTATCATAAATACATCCTGTTTGTAAATTGTACCCAACTCGTTTAGGTTATGTTGTTGTGCATTGCCTTGAGTTGGAACCCACTCACAGCTGACCTTCTAGTGGATTTTCATAAGCAGTAAGTCAGGTGGGAGGAAATTACTCATCTTTTTCTCTTAGAACTGGTAGATTCGAACTACCTGCCTTTAGGTTGGCAGTGCAACTCCCTACTCACTAAGCCACCAGACCACCCTCATTTCGTTTAAGTGTTCTAGAATCCAGTATCTTCACTATTTTCAGAGTTTTGAGACAGGTTTAAACTCCTTGTTCAAGAATGTCTGGAACTGCTTAAATTTTTACCATTTCTCGCCAGTGTCAAAGTTTATAGGAAAAGGTCTGATTTCAACTTGGTCTGTTTGGCTGTGCACTGATCCCTTGTGGCTGACTTTTCCTCCATATTGCTGCTCAGGAGACAGCTTGAAGGAGCTAGAGGGTAATCCTGCAGCTTGTTGTTGTTATGTACTAAACTGGCCCATGGCTGACCCTCCAGTGAGTTTTCAGAGGCAGTAAATTACATGGGAGGAGATGCCCATCCTTCTTCCATGGGGCAGCTGGTTGATTTGAACTGTGAGCCCTAACAGCTTCCTATTAGTGATGCCATGTCCTTGGAGACTCACCCCATCTCTAGCATTTAAGCTGCACTTTTAACTTGGGCAGGGACTTTTGTTGGCAGAATCTGTAGTGAGTTGTACTGTGAACTCAAAGGCCATGAGTTTCCAATACTGAAATCCAACAGTGACTCTGAGGGAGAAAGATGGGAAGTCTCCTCCCATGACATGTACAGCTTTAGAAACCAAATGAAAGTTCGCTATGAGTTGGAACTGACACAGTGGCAATGAATTTGAGTGTTTGTAAACCTTAAGAGCCTCTAGCTGGGTCTTTCATCAAGAGGCCTCTTACAGCTACCACAGGTTAGGGTACTCCATCACCATTTGTTTTTAAACTTATTTCTTCTAGCAATCATAATAGCACAGGATATGATAGATGGAGAAGAGATTGAGGATGTTAACAATTTCAGCTTGCTCGACTCCACAATCAACACTCTTGGTGCCAGCAGTCAGGAAATCAAAAGGCAAATTACACTGGGAAATTCTGTTGTCAGAGACCTTCTCAGAGGACTGAGGAGCAACAATATCAGTCTAGAGGCTAATCTAGCCATGATCTTCACAGTTACTTGTTATGTATCAGGGAGCTGGACAATGACTAAGGATGACAGAAGAAGAATTGATGCCTTTGAGTTATGGTGCTGGAGAAGAGTCTGGGAAATACCATGAACCACCAAGAAAGCAAATAAGTCTTGGAGAGTGTGAACTAAGATTCTCCTTGGAGGGGCAGATTTTGAAACTCTGTCTCACACATTTTTTGGCATATGGTCAGGAGGTTCTTGGAGAGGAACATCATGCTTAGAAGGGCAGAGTGACAGTACAGGAGAGAAAGACCCCAGATGAGATAGATTTATACAGTAACTGGAGTAATGGGGGTAGGTGTGTCGGAGTCAGTGAGATTGTCACAGGATAGGGCAGGGTTCAGGGCTGTTTTACATAGAGTCACCAGGTATTGCAGGCAACCTGATAGCTCATAACAACAACAACACTATATAGTTTTTTTAAAATAAAATTTTGTTATTCTGGCCTAATCTATATTTCAAGAATAAATGAAATTTAAAATTTAGCTATATATATGGATTTGAACATACCTGAAACAATAAAAAGAATCTAAGCATATAATAAAGCCTCAATGCACGCTGTAACCACAGAAGACAATGAATGTTATATATTCTTTTTGTAAGCCTAAATTTCTCATCCCAAAGTAATTCTAAAAAATATTTTTAAGTTACCTTTTCAATCTGTATGTGGAACAGATAATCCGGGAGGCTGGGCTCAATGAGGAGACATGTTGCATCAGGATAGGAGGAAAACTCATCAACAGCCTGTTATGCAGATGATACAACTCTGCTTGCTGAAACTGAGGAAGACCTGAGGCATTTGCTGCAGAAGGCCAGAAGAGTTCAGCCTTCAATATTGCTTGAAGCTCAACATCAAGAAAACAAAGATTCTTACCACTAGGCCAATTGACAGCATCATGATAGACAGCAAAGAGATCGAGATTCTTAACAGCTTCAATTTGTTTGGCTCCACAATCAACACTCTTGATACCATCAGCCGGGAAATAAAAAGACTAACTGCATTGGGAAAGTCTGCTCTCTGGGACTTCTCTAGAGTACTGAAGTGCAACGATGTCAGTCTAGGGACTAAGGTGCACCTGATCCAGGCCATGGTCTTCGTAATTATTTTCTATGCCTCAGAAAGCTTGACAGTGTCTAAGGATAATAGAAAAGAATTGATGCCTTTGAACTGTGGTGCTGGAGAAGAGTATTGAATTTACCATGAACTGCTAGGAGAACAAAGAAGTTCATCCTAGGGAGGGTGAAACCAGGTTGCTCCGTGGAGGCAAGAATTCTCAAGCTCTGTCTTACACACTTTGGGCATCTTGCAAGGAGTTACCAGTTCTTGGAGAGGGACATCATGATTAGAAGGGTGAAGGGACAGTGAAGGAGAGGAAGACCCTGGATGAGATGGATTGACTCAGTGACTGGGATAATAGGGATAGGTATGTCAAAGACAAAAAGGTTCTCTCAAGCTAGAGCAGGGTTCAGAGCTGTTGTACATAAGGTCGTTATGAGTCACAAGTGACTCAACAGCATATAACAACAACAACAATATTTAAACATTTTTTCCATGGTTCTGATTGTCTGAATCTGTTTTCAAATGCTTGCTAGGAATAATCCATGCAAGTGCTTAAGAAAAAAGAAAGAAAGCTTTCACATACATTTGAGAGGAGATAGAGCTATGGTCTACTAAAATTCAATCAAATGAAGGCTCACTGAGGTGAAATAAGCTTGCTTAGAAAGGAGTGTCTGTATCATTCTGAAGGAGGAGGCCAGTGTTGAATGGAATGAAGAACAGGAGAGAGGTACTTCTTGGATGATGCTAAACTACAATGACATTTTTTAGGCAGAAAGATTATGACAGAATCAAAATGATGACAAAATCTGAAGAAAGAAATGGGCTAGAAATGTCTCAGGAACACAAAACATACATATTATGTCTCTTTTTCCAGTTAGAAGATGTAAGAATTCATTTTTATCGCAGTTACTTTCTGAATGAAACACAGCTAGTGTGAATTTTCATATGACCTTCTTTATATGGTTTTGTTTTTTATTGACTACTGTAGAGGTCAGAGAGACTGAACGAGGTAAAGATGATGAAGAGGAGGATGTAAGGAAGGGATCCACCAAACATTGAACAGAGAGGGCAGTGTGAACGGCATCTCAGTGAACAGCATTTGATTTATAGGCATTTGCAGAGGCAGAGATCAAAATGGAATGAAAGCAGCAACATAAGAGAGTGAGGGCTTAGAGATTGTTCTAGAGCTGCGCTTGGTTCATGTACACATAATGAGGGCTAAAACTTTATACTGTGTAACAGTTGGGATGGAAGTCACTTTGAGTATGTTATTAGATGACTTTTATGAATAATGTAACATTTGCCAACCTAGTACTTTCTGTGTATACATTTCAGTGACATGAATTACATGAATCCTGTTGTGCAACTGTCACCAATATTGATTGCCAAATTCTCTAATACCATTAAAGAGATGTTTTAAAGTTTCAGGATAATTTAGTGAATTACTCAGAAACAAGTAATGGAAGAACAGAGCAGGTAAATGAAGAGCGGAAGAATGGTATAATGGGTATTACGTT